TCACCTGTGGGGTTGCGCGCCGCGGCGCGTCCGAGGGGCGTCGTAGTCCATGAATTCATGGTATATTTCGATGGAACTACGAAGTGCTATTAACGACATTGTTAAAAGCACATGATTTTGAGAGATTCCTAACTTAGTTAGATTTTTGATGGTCTCCCTGGGCATCGCCCCTCTTGTTCCTACCACGACTGGTAGGACTTCAGCAGAGCAAGCTGCCCACCTCTGCTGGAATTGAGGTAGCAAGCGGCTATATTTTTCTACTTTGCTTGTAAACCCTTGAGCGAGATTATTCCCGTCTTCGTGGCGGACTGTAACATCGACCACGAAGACCCTTCCCCGGCTTTGTATTACCAGGTCAGGTTTGAGATTCCCGCCTCCGGTTGCCGCCACCGTCGGTTCAACCGTTATTGCCACCTCTGGGCCTTTCTTTTTAAGTTCTTCCACGATGAGGTTTTTGATCTCATCGTGCCTTCGAATCCTATGTGGTTTCGTGTGACGACATTGCCCCAATATGTGTCCCAATGTCTCAATTTGCGAACCACATTGCCTGCATGTAGGATCCGGTATTCTGGTCGTTCTGCTCATGGCCGCCCTGTCAGCACATGAGTTGGTTCTCATCTTGAGGGCTGTAATCATACGACATGGCTTGAGCAACGAGGGGTCCCTAAGCCATGCGTTTCCGATCCTGGAGTCGGCGAAGGCCGCTGCCGACTTTCCTTGAGAACCAAGGCGCTTCCATCTGGCAAGCTCAGCCTTCTTTTGCGTTCTAGTATAGCTGGTCAGTTGCTCCCCAGTAACTGGCCAAGCTATCCGGGCATCGAGAGCGAGTCGCCTCACTCTACTCTCGAGCTTAGTGCCCGTGGCAAGAGCTTGCATTGCCGGGTCGGGGTTGTCCACGAACTTTAAGCCGGCTTTTAGGGCTGATGAGGTGGCGAGCCACTCCAACCTCGGGATCGCAAGTCCCCCGTCCCTCTTACCGCAGTATAATAAGGCGTTCGTTGTTGCCTGCGGCAGGTGAAGAATATTCTTCACCACTACCCGTAGCTCCTGGTCCATCAGTTTTATCTGTGTCATAGCCGGCATCGCTATGGACAACTGATACAGGTAATGAGGAACAATGTAAGTAGAGATTAAGTCTATCTTTTGATGCGGTTTCAACTTTAGTCGTTGCACACGACTAAGAGTTGAAGCAAGGTCGGCTCGTATGCCCTCGGTTGTGACCCCAACCCAGGGAGACAACTTGCATCCAAGGTAGACAAGGTGATCGCCGGCCCCCGCTACCGGTATCACTTCTCCACTGTCGAGTTCGAGGCCTGGGTCAGTTAAGTACCAGGAGTCTTTGGTACGGTTTACACGGAAGGTGCGGCATTTATTGGCAGCAATCTTCATACCTAGACTCGATAGGTATGCTTCCGTGCTACTTAACTGGTCCTTAGCATGTGGTACTGTTTGCGCGACTAGGAGCAGATCGTCGGCAAATGCTAAGGACGATATCTGCGTCTCTGTGTCGATTTTGTACCCAGGTCTCGTTTCCAGCTTATCTAGCAAGGGCTCCAAAACTAGATTGAATAGTAATGGGCTGAGGGGGTCACCTTGCTTGACCCCCCGCTGGAGGCGTATCTCGATTGGCGCCTGATTAAGTTCTATAATAGTAGTTACATCCTCATATGCATTTTCCACGATACGTACCACCTGTTCGGGAAAACCTTTGCGACGTAACGCGTGTCCTATAGCTTGGTGCGGCACAGTATCAAATGCTTTGGACACGTCCAGCTGCGTTACGACCAGGCCATTCTTGGCTTTTGAGTGCCTCAGCAGCTCATTGAGGATGTGGATGTTGTTGAAGCACCCAGATTCGTTCATGAAGCCCTTTTGTCTGGGTGAGAACCGTGCTTTTGCCCTAAGTTTGCTGTCAATAATGCCAAAGTAAATTCTCGACATTAAAGAAGAGATTGTAATTGGACGGTAGCTTTCAGCTAACATACCGTCCTTACCCTCTTTAGGGATCAAAGTAGTTCGGTTCTTCCTCCAGGCGGTAGGAATCTTACCGCTTATCATGATTAAATTGAAAAATAACTGGAGGACTTCGTTTGCACCAGGAACGCGTTTAATGTCTCCCTTTTTAATACCATCGGGACCCGGTGCTGTGGACATTTTCATCCGAGAGAGACGCGTGTTCACCTCTTTCACCGTCACGGCGGTTAGCACAGTACCTAACCCAAGTGCCGGTTCGGAGGGCTCTCCCAGGAAGGGCACCTGTACTTCCGACGGATTTGTGCCCCAAAGCTTTTTGTACAGGTCCCGCACGTCTTGGGCTGGAGCTTTTACCCCTGGTTCCTCCAGCCAGTCCACGTTGTTACGGACGTGCTTGGCAAGAATGCCTGGCTCTTTTTTGTAAATATCCTGGGTACGGGCGTAGAGGTACCGTCTGTTACCCCTCTTATTTTGTCCTCTACGCCTTCCCTTTCGTCGCCCTGCAACTCCCCGCTCCTCGCTGACGAAGAGAGCGGTGACTCTATCATGTAAAGTATCTATTTGCGATTGGGGCTGCCCCATAGGCAAATCGCAAGCCTCGGAGATTGCATTTCTAAGCAGCTGGGTGACCGTGTTCACCTCCAGATGTTGCTGTGCCGCTCGAGTCAACTTGCAGCTACGGGCAGTCTGAGCAACATCCTGTCTCCAAAGTGTCTCTTCTGGAGAAGCTGCTGGCGATACCAACTCATCTACACTGACATTCAGTACCCTCTCTGACATGTCAGGCGTCTGAGTCGGACTTATGTTTTCGGCGGTGGGGGTGATATTATTAACGTTATTTTCACCCCCTGCAATGGCAGCTACTGCTGATACGTCGAGTAGCTCCGGGACTGGGATAGGGGAGCCACCCCCTACTCCCGCTTCCTCGCAGCTGTTGGTTTCGGGCGCTTCTTCTTGGGGGACGGTAGCTCTACCATCCCCTGTGTCTGTGGATACTGGTTCTGTACTGTCATCATCAGTACTAGCGCTCGCTGTGATCCCTCTTTCTGCGAGGTACCTTTCACGCCGTTCTTTGTAGCATTTTTGGGCCCTTTTGTCCCGGAGTTGTTTCAAAGTTTTCTCTGGTATCAACTCCCGCATGCGCATTGCTATACGCAACTCACCCCGGTACCGGAGTTCGCACTCCATCATTATTTGTTCCTCCTCTTCAGTAAAGATAACCAATCTTCTTTGTCGAGGAGACCGCCGTGTACCCGCTGCCCTAGCTTCGTTTCGGGTGAGTGGATGCCGGTGCCGCTGGTGCTGTGTTAGTGCACCGCGGCCGGAGTACCTTTCGCCGCAATCGGGGCAGGCCACGCCTACCGATTCGGGTATAGGCCTGTTACTTGGTACTCCGTCAGTCTCTGAGTCTGTTGACTCTGGAGGTGGGGCTGCCGCAGCAGCTCCCACCGGGCACTTGGGGACGTGACACAGTGCCGCATGTTTTGCTATATACATTTTTGAGCACATCCTGCATTTGAATCTGATTTGTATATCCTTGTGATCAGATTTTACATGTTTTATTTCATCATTTAAGGTCATGTGCAGGATGTTAATGCTTCTTTTGAGGCATAGGGGGCATGACCTTTCTATATAGGGGAGCAAAATCTCAATGTCCTTGTTATCGCCATTTCCATCATCATGGGCCCCTGGTCTAGGATTTTGGGATGGTGTGGGCCCATCACCATCCCGATCTTCCGAGGCTATGTTTATTCGAGTCGTAGCCTGTGATACTATGCAACTTGGCTGGCTGGGCCAAGTGCATGTCTTCCCCTAAGGGGTAAGATACAAGGTGGTCTGTATCTCGCCCTCGGTTTCCATACCGACCCCTTATGACTGTCCGCAGACAGGCCCCGACCGGGTAATCGGGGGGCTGGTTCCTAGTTAGCCGTCATCCTCGTTCAAATGCCTAACCAAAGGTAAGGCGGGTGGATGAGCGTTGCCCAGCAGTCACCGCGTGGAGGTCAGGAACCTTTGACCGCCTAAGAGAGTCATAGTTACTCCCGCCGTTTACCCGCGCTTGCTTGAATTTCTTCACGTTGACATTCAGAGCACTGGGCAGAAATCACATTGAGTCAACACCCGCAGGGGCCATCTCAATGCTTTGTTTTAATTAGACAGTCGGATTCCCCCGGTCCGTGCCAGTTCTGAGCTGACCGTTGAATGGCGGCCGAAGAGGACACCAGAACGCCCTTGCGAGCGCACTCTGGGCCTCGCAGCAAGACGGTTCCGCGGGAGGCCAAGGCACGGTACCGAGTTCGGATCCGCAATCCTACCGCACACGCGCGAACGCATACGACAGAACGTTTCACCTCGCCCAGGCCCGGCACGTCAGCCGCGACCCGCTTCCTCGCCAAGCCCGACACGCCCCGATCCTCAGAGCCAATCCTTATCCCGAAGTTACGGATCCAATTTGCCGACTTCCCTTACCTACATTATTCTATCGACTAGAGGCTCTTCACCTTGGAGACCTGCTGCGGATATGGGTACGAACCGGCGCGACACCTCCACGTGGCCCTCTCCCGAATTTTCAAGGTCCGAGGGGAAGACCAGGACACCGCTGCAACTGCGGTGCTCTTCGCATTCCAAACCATATCTCCCTGCTAGAGGATTCCATGGAACTCGAATGCTTATGCAGAAAAGAAAACTCTTCCCTGGTCTCCCGACGGCGTCTTCGGGTCTTTTTGGGTTACCCCGACGAACTCTCTTGCGAGGGCCCGACTATTGTACGGTTCCGCTGCCGGGTTTCGGAATAGGAACCGAATTCCCTTTCGCCCGACGGGCGTGTTCTTTATATATACACACATACATACATATATTTATAAAACAACGCCACATCAACATCGGCTTTCGCCTAGGGCTTAGGATCGACTGACTCGTGTGCAACGGCTGTTCACACGAAACCCTTCTCCACGTCAGTCCTCCAGGGCCTCGCTGGAGTATTTGCTACTACCACCAAGATCTGCACCGACGGCGGCTCCAGACGGCCTCACGGCCAGCCCTTCTGCGCGCACCGCCGCGACCCTCCTACTCGTCAGAGCTTCATGGCCGATCCGTTTTTACGCGGATCGAGACCGCACATGCCGCTGACGGCCGAGTATAAGCACGACGCTTCAGCGCCATCCATTTTCAGGGCTAGTAACTTCGGCAGGTGAGTTGTTACACACTCCTTGGCGGATTCCGACTTCCATGGCCACCGTCCTGCTGTCTTAAGTTACCAACGCCTTTCATGGTATCCCATAAGCGTCGATTTAGGCGCTTTAACTCGACGTTTGGTTCATCCCACAGCGCCAGTTCTGCTTACCAAAAATGGCCCACTTGGCACTCTGATTCGATTCTCGCAGCTTCATTAGTTCGAGCAAGCCGGAGATCTCACCCATTTAAAGTTTGAGAATAGGTTGAGGTCGTTTCGACCCCAATGCCTCTAATCATTCGCTTTACCGGATGAAACTCGTCACAGACGAGCGCCAGCTATCCTGAGGGAAACTTCGGAGGGAACCAGCTACTAGATGGTTCGATTAGTCTTTCGCCCCTATACCCAGTTCCGACGATCGATTTGCACGTCAGAATCGCTACGGACCTCCATCAGGGTTTCCCCTGACTTCGTCCTGACCAGGCATAGTTCACCATCTTTCGGGTCCCAGCGTGTACGCTCTTGGTGCGCCTCTTCTCGTAATGAGAACGAGACGCCCCGGGAGTGCGGAGCGGCCGCTTTATAGACGTGCCGCCCATCTTCCCTAAATCCGCGCTAGGCGGATCTTTACTTTCATTGCGCCTTTAGGTTTAGTTATGTCCCAATGACTCGCGCACATGCTAGACTCCTTGGTCCGTGTTTCAAGACGGGTCCTGAAATTACCCAAAGCTATAGCGTCGCAGATCGGCGTTTCAAACGAGGTCTGTCCGAGAAATCCGCACGACCAACAGTCGTCCGGGGACGGAACCGGGCGCTAGGTCCGATCGCCGTCTTAGCATCGAACGTGCTTGTCGTGGGTCGGACGCTAATTGAAGAAGTAGCGGCCTCGCGCCATCTGTATACCGTCGAGCGAGTCGGCCGGAACATCGCGGGTTCGAGCACGAATCGCCGAAACGATCGTACACGGACTCCACCGCGAGCCGTAGACCGACACCCAACGGATCGCGACGTCCTACTAGGGGAAAAGTGCACGCGTTCGACGCCGGATCGAAAAGCGAAAGGCGCGGACGACGCGCGAACGCCGTCCGTCGCGCGACCGCTCATCGCCGACGGCCGAAACGCGAATGAATTTCCCCTTTCGACCTTTCGGGTTTCTCAGGTTTACCCCTGAACGGTTTCACGTACTCTTGAACTCTCTCTTCAAAGTGCTTTTCAACTTTCCCTCACGGTACTTGTTCGCTATCGGTCTCGTGGTCATATTTAGCCTTAGATGGAGTTTACCACCCACTTAGGGCTGCACTCTCAAGCAACCCGACTCTGAGGAGAGATCCTCCCGCGATCGGCAGCGGCCACTACGGGCCTGGCACCCTCTATGGGCTGTGGCCCCGTTCAAGAAGGACTTGGACTCGCCGCGCGACCTCGGGATAAACGGATCCTCCCTAACACCACATTTCCCGGCGCCCGATATCGACCGCGGGATTCGGTGCTGGGCTTTTCCCTGTTCGCTCGCAGCTACTGAGGGAATCCTAGTTAGTTTCTTTTCCTCCGCTTAGTAATATGCTTAAATTCAGCGGGTAGTCTCACCTGCTCTGAGGTCGGTTAACAATATACAACACAACACCACACACAGATATATATGTCACACGCGATCGCTAATACTAAATCGTATAGCTGCTGCTGCTATACTACTACTAGTCGAAAGCGTTCTCTAGTGTTTAGCGCGTATATGCGATCAGACGTCGTTATCTCGAAAAAAATAATTTCTCTCTCGGACACGACGATCGCAGCGCAAGTTCGAAACGCGTAACGACTACAGCATATATACATATATATATATATATATATATATATGTAGTGCTATTACGATTTTTATCCGTACAGCGCGCGTGTTCGTTCTATGTGTGAGTTTACGATTCGTTCGTATGACGAACGAATCGTCGCTTTCGCGTTTTGAGATGCCGCGACGACGACAAAGACGACGACGTTTACGATATTACATAAATAAATATATAATAACTAGCGTCGTCGCGTCGTACCGCCGCGTCTACATCCAACACGCTCCGACGTTTCATTCTCCTCTCTCATGTCGTCGTCGTCGTCGTCGTCTCTCGGATAAAGAGATAATACGACGACGCGAACAGAGATCGGAGAGGAAACCGAGCAGTCTTTTAAATTGATACGACCCTCAGCCAGGAGTGGTCCGGGAACAGTATCCGAGGACCGCAATGTGCGTTCGAAATGTCGATGTTCATGTGTCCTGCAGTTCACAAGTTGACGCGCAATTAGCTGCGTTCTTCATCGACCCACGAGCCAAGTGATTCACCGTTCAGGGTAATCGTTTTTTAATTAGACGATCTCTATATATATAAAATATATATCGATACGTCTTTATTGTTATGATAATGGCTAATGTTATTAAAGAAAATATATAAAAAAAAGAAAGCGCGCATTTCTCACGGAGACTTCGTGTATTTTGCGCGGCAAACGCGCAAAATTATTTTTGCGCGTTTATAACAAACGAGCGTGCCGACGAAGTCTCTCGTGTACGCGCGCATTCTATCCGTATCGCGCTTCTATAGCATACGCGTGTGCAAGGGGTACAAATAACACTACAACAGAGTTGTACATAACATGAATATATATGTATGTATTAAGCGTACAACACGTGTCGTCCTCTTGTACCGTCTTTTCGTATGGCGTAGAAATTTCGACTAACGGGCGAATATCTTTAAAAACAACCGGAAAAGAAGGAAATGAGTCGTGCGGACACGACGACATATCTCCGTTCTTCTCCCATATAGAGTTACCCGTCGAAAATATCGCCATCCGTACAGACGACGACGTCGTAGAGACACGTGTGTACATACGCATACGCATACAACACAATATTATGTCTATGCGATATACGCGTGTCGGAACGTACCCCGAGCGCGCGCTCGCGCGTACTAGAAGCGCTCTATACGGCGTGGTGCGTTCGAAAATTATACGTATTATATGATGGTGGGACGACGAAAAGATTTTCAATAAGATTTATAAAAAAGATACGCACTCGCGTACACGACGAGACGAGGGAAGAGGTTGTGTGTTACACACAAACAACAACACCTCGTTCGGGTAATATACACGTGTGTGCGCTCGATCTTACTATAAATGTTCCTTATTATCTTTTCGAACGTCGCTACATCATCGCCTATAATAAAAAGGCAAATTCGTTCAATGAATAGTAAAGTGTATAAGAGTAAAGTATCGTGTTGAAATATATTACTCATTATACGAAAGACTTTTTTTTGTCAAAGACAAAAATTAAAGCACTGTAATGATCCTT